TCTTCACCACATTTGCTTATGCACCTGCTCTGTTTTCAGCGATAGCATCAGTAGGGCGCCTAACTTTGTAGACAGTGGGAGCCATTACAGTTACTCAAGTAAATTGGGAAAATTGCTTACCTTCAGGGTTAGAAGAGGTTTTCCATGGTGGTGGCATTTGGAAATGTATGTATATGGTGGTAGTGTTGCTGCCCTGCGTTTAGTGCCAGTGGTACAGGATGCCAAATGCCTTACAGTGTTCAGGCAGTCTGGCACAATAGAGAATTGTCCCAGCTAAAGTGACAGCAGTGCCCCTGCTGAAAACCACATTGGAGGACATTGTAAGTCTGCTGCAGACGAAGACATTTAGTGAAGACCTGGGTTAAGTAAACTGGAGTAGGAAGTGGAGCAGAGACTTAGCAAAAGGAGACTACTGGGGGCTAGTATGTAACACTGCTAGTAACAACTAGAGTTTCATCACAGATGCTCTGAATCAGAGCTTACATTTCAACAGCATCTGCCCCCACCCCTAGCCCCTCATGATCTGTAAGAATCACTGGGTTTGGGGGTGGGGGGTGGGTCTTGTTTAAAATGTAGATTCTGAGTCTGCATACCGGAGTGGACTTGCTTCAGAATGGACCTGTTTGAAGCCTTGGTCAAAAAACACCAACCAAACTCTCTGCCATCGAATCATTTCTGACTTACAGCCACCATATAGAACAGGAGGGAACTTTCCCTCAGGCTTTCTGAGATTGCAAGTCTTCACAGGAGCAGAAAGCCTCCTCTTTCTCCCTTGGATCCGCTGGTGGAGTAGAACTGCAACTGTGGTTAACAACCCTGTGTGTAATCCCTTGAGCCGCGAGAGGATCCCTTGAGGCCCTGGTAATTACTATTAAAATTGAGATGGTAATGAATTATGATGGACATCAGAAGATGCTTCCGTGTATGAGTCTGTGTTTAACAATGATAAGCATGGCCAATTTTTTTCCATCTATATCCCATTTTGAATTATTTGGAGCAGATCCCAACCATATCACTTCATCTGTAAATACACCAGAAAACCAAGCTCACTGCCGTGGAGTCTGTTTCCATTCAAAGTGACTCTCTAGGATATAGTGGAACTAACTGCCTGTGGATTTCCCAGACTGTAAATCTGTAAGGGAGTAGAAAGCCTTTTTCCTGAAAAGTGGCTGGTGCTAACCTTGCAGTTAGCAGCCCAATTCAACGCACCATGCTCATTTAAATATACTGTATAAAGACTGTAAACATGGTATGTTGATAAAGTCTATGTGGCTTGCTCGTATTGATACCATAGGCTTAGATGGGAAAGAAGGGAAAATGGGGTCAGATTTCAAACACCAGGACCTGTCTACTGCTTTTGTGATATTCTTAGCTAAAACGTTGTAGTTCTTTATAATAATCTTGACCTTAAAAAAATGATGTGTGGTGGGTGGGTGGGTGGTGGTGGGGGTGGTATGTAGCTCTGGCCTCTTCACAAAGAAAACTAAACCACTAAGTGCCATTAAGTCAATTGTGACTCACAGAGCACCCTATAGGGCAGAATAGAACTGCTCCCTAAGGTTTCCAAGACTGTAAATCTTTACAGCAAGAGATAGCTTCATCTTTCAAAGTGACTCCACTTTCCAACCTTTTTACTGATTCTCACACTAACTACCTTTCCCGTGGCACACACTACTACTATGATGGCTTGAGAATTTGTTGCAATGGTCACATATCTCAACAGCCTATACTCATACAGGTTTATTTGAGAAGTAACAGGTTACAATATAGGATAAAAATTGTTTAGGATACAGTTCTTCGATTAGGAGACCTGCCTCAGAGCCATTACAAGCCTTTCTTTGGCTCTTGGCCCCCTGCCTGGCTCCTGCAATGCTCGGGCAAATACTACAAAACTTTTTGCTGTCTGTAAGTGTTTAGAGGCACCCCACTCTGCCAATAAGCCTCTTGCAGATAGACGTCCAGCTATAGGCCTGCAAAGCCCGCCCATTGCTCTTTTTCATGGAGGTTCAGAAGGCTTCTTGCTGTCTCTTGTCACCTCTGTCTCCTATATCCAGAACCCTGGTAATGTAGTGGTTATGCATTTACCTGCAAACTCGAGGTCAGCAGTTTGAAACCACCAATTGCTCTGCAGGAGAAAGACTGGGCTTTGAACTCCCATAAAGAGTTACAGTTTCAAATTCACAGAGCAGTTCTACCCTGTCCTATAGGGTCACTAGGAGTCGGCATCAATTTGATGGCAGCGAATGAGTTTCAGAGACTGTGGTTTAGAAGACCTGTTCTGTAATTTACCTTCTTTAAAAAACCCACTGCCATCAAGACAGTTCCAACCCATATGACCCTAGAGAAGATTTTATAGTTGTGCTTTTTTTCCCTTCCACTCAGTAACTGTTATGTTGACTGTATGCAGAGAGTAATGATTTATCACCTATTAACATACAAGGGGGCACCTACCCCCCC